GCCCCAGAGGATCCCAAGCAAACTCTGTGCTCACAGCAGAGAGCCTGACCGGGGGCTCGAGCTCCTGAACCTCGAGACCACGACCTGAGCTGAAGTCAGACGCTTAACCGACTGAGCCACCCAGGCGCCCTGAGAAGCGCTACCTTAAAGCTCTCATCTTTATGAAACCTGGTAACTTTGATATAAAACATACTTTTCCATATTGTAGGACTTGATTCTACCAACCTGGATCCTTCTAAACAACTTCTTTGAGGTTTCCGGTGTTTGAAGTGGATATTAAAGTTTTCTAGCCCTTTGAACACTCTTTAAAATGCAGCTCCGTTTACCTGCACTTTATCATAATTGGAACTCAATTGCAGAGACAGAAGGCTCGCACAGCCAACTGTTCTGCAGAATGCAAATTGTGCATGGGAAATACTTCCCCTGGGAGAAAATGGAGTGGCTGTTGTGAGAGAGGTTATTTTTACAAGAACACACCAAATGTCTCCCGTGCTTTAGTGTTTTATCGAAAATCTCAATGAAAGAGAACCCTTTGTGAGAGATCAATACACACATGCACAGGCACACGCGCACACGCGAGAGTAAGAGCAAGAGAGCGATGCTATGTTTTAGGGCACGTGATGGAACCCTAACAGAATTTGCCTACATCAATTGTGAAATGTCAAAAACAAACAGCCCAATAGTTTGCTTATGCATCCTTCATACTGGCACGTGATTTTCTCTTTGACAGCCACTCACCTTCACTTCTTCCCCAGCAGGATTCATCTAAGGTGATGAAACTCATCTTTCAGGTAGCATATCCATTAGCCATTCCTGTGTCATAACCTACTGCCAGATTCAGTGGTTTATTCTTGCTCGTCTGTCTAAAGGTTGGTGGGGTGGCTCTGCTGATCTCGGCCGGGCTCAGCCCAGCTTGGCTGCAGGCTGTAGGTTGGTTGGGTCTGGCCCTGTTCCTTGGACCTGTGACACGTTCTCATAGTGAGTGGCAAAAGGTAAGTGGACAAACCCACCTCCATAAACGTATTTCAAGCCCCTTATGCAGCTCTCACCATAACATCTTATTGGCCAAAGCAAGTCATGTGGCCCAGTCCAAACCAAGGGTTGGAGACTCCAATGCTACAATCTGAATGTGCCTCCCCGCCCCCCCCCCATTCATATGTTGAAACCTAACCCCTAAGGTGATGGTATAAGGAGGTGGAGCTTTGGGGAGGTGATTAGGTCATGAGGGGTCCGCCCTCCCAATTGGGACTGGTGTACTTTTAAAGGAGGCGCCAGAGAGATTCCTCGCCTGTTTCCACCGTGGGAGGACGCAGTGGGAAGATGGCGGTCCGCAACAGCTTCTGGCAGCACCTGGCCATGCTGGCACCCTGGTCTTGGATTTCCAGCCTCCGGAACTGTGAGAAATACATTCCTATTGTTTATGAGCTGCTGGGTCTCCGGTATTTCATCACAGAGCCCCAGTGGACTGAGAGAGGTATGTTCCACCGACCATAAGGCACGTCACGTGGTCAAGCCCAATGTCAAGGGTGGTGCCCTCCTCTCAGAGTTAGGGTGTAAAAGGCGTGCATATGTGTAGAACGAGGGTCTTTTCTACTATCAGTAGGAAAAGTGAGGCATAGCATTTTGTACAAGTCACGGTGCTTGTGTGTGAAGGATTTTCTTATCCCGAGAGAAGGAGGACACAAGCACTGAGTACCTATAGTACTCCAAGATTCTACTGAGTTTTCTCCCATGTTATTTCATTGAACCTTTTAACACCACTAGAACCCATTTCACATACAAGGTGACAGGCCAAGGAGCTAGGACGTGGACAGTCTAGGAGTGGAGCCTAGTTTTTTCTGGCAGCCTTCACGTGCCTTGACTATTGGGTCACATTTTTGGTGGTGTTGTGGCAAATCAAGCACTGACTTCTTAGGGGGAAATATTTTTATTGCACTGTTCTAATACCCCAGAAGCAAGAAGCGCCATACTTTTTCTGTGAGCATAGCTGCCCATCACTCTTGATATTCAAATTGTTGGCTCAAATGGATTCTCTTGAAAACCTGCACTGATGATGCCGATTGGTTGCTCAACAGAGGCTTTGGGGACTTCTACGGGTTAGAGAGGCGGACTGTTCCCGTCACTTGAGTGTGACTGGCCTCTCTTGACTGTCTTGCTATTCCTATCCTGCAGGGCTGGGGCCGTGGGGAGGAAGGATGGAGAAATCAGGAACTCCAGCCAGGAAACGCTGCCTGAAGAGAATTTCAGGTGGGTCGACGATGTTGTTCTCCCCCATCTGAAATGCCCTGTTGACCTAAATGTTAGCTTGTTTGTCACCAATGCTTAGCAAACACCGATGTGCCAGGCACATTCACGGGAGTGTGGAGAAAGGTAGACCGAGCGCTAGTGATGACCGGGTGAATCCTATGGATCTGTGTCTTAATAGGTGATTCTGGTGCCACTCAAGTTGGAGTATTACTGTGTTAGGCCACCAGATAGAGAAGGCTGGTGGCTTCTATTAGAGTTACTATTCACTCATTCATTTCAGGTTAGAGGAAGGTTCCTACTCTTCTTCAGGGATGGCAGGGGCCAGGGTCTGGGGAGGCCAGCCTCAGAGAAGCAACAGTTGCCACCAATCCCGTGCAAGACTCTGGGAGAGTCACGGTCCTGCTTCCTGCTTGGCTATGCAGTCCCTGCAGGGATGGGCAGGGGCCTCCCCGGTGATGTCCGGGCTTACCTGCAGGGTCTAAGGTTTCTCAGCCTGGGCACTATGGACATTTGGCACTGGATAATTCTTGGTTGTGGGTGGTTATGCATTTACCAGCATCCCCGGCCACTCTCCACTGTATGCCAGGAGGAGCACCCGCCCCCCCCCCCCCAACCCGCTCTGCCCTGCCAAGTTATGACAATCAAAAAGGTCTCCTGAGGGAGAGGGATTAAATCACACCACTCCCCTCCCGTCTCCTGCTTTGAGACTGCTGGGCTTATGCTGGGAAATTCCCTTCTCAGGATAACGAGCAATGGAAAAGCCAGTGGTGTAACTGCAAGGAACGTGGGGTGTGAGGCTAGCAGCCTTGAATCTCGGCCCCTCCGATGACTGGCCACGGACTTCTTTCCCTGCCTCCTCTCCACTCCCAGTCTTCCCCAACCCCCAAAAACCACACCCCCACACACATTATTTTCATAAATGACTTTTACTTCTTTATCATTTCTCTTGACAGCGATTCTTGGCGATGTGCATATAACATGAAGGCAAGCATAACTTTCAGAAGTCATCAAAGATATGGTCTTATTGTCCTCGTTTTCTTAAACCATTAAAATATTTTCATTTATAAAAATTAATCTAAATATAAATATTGACACTGAAGATCAAAATCACTTGATGACAAAATAATTCTTCCGAAACTATAACATATGCTTATGGTTTTTAATAGTCAATTAAATCTTTGCACTTATTTGGCACAAGGAAACCTTTATAAAATTTCAAATGCCGTAGAGCAGGCTTCTTCTTTTTTCTCTTTTTTGTTTTTTTGTTTGTTTTTGTTTTTTGCAAGGCTTACACAGTACACATTTTTGTCAAAGAAAACTGAATATTAGCACTGGAACACACCAATAGTTGCTTTTCATGCCTCTTAAAGGAAACATTCGATTTGGAACTCAGATCTTTTGTTGTTGTTGTTGTGTTTTTAAAATTTGTATTTGTCTGCTTTGAGTCATACCAACAGAACAAAAAGCCAAGATTTACTGTGTTTCAAAGAAGTCACTTCTGTTGGATAGCACATACACAGGATCAGCAAAGGGTGTCACCGGAAGATAGGTAGATCGCATCAGGAATGGATCGGAACACACATTTCAGCAGCAAATCAGGTCTGGCAATGTGTGTAGCAGCAAAAGAAGGTAGGAGTTGAAACCAACGCAGGGTGAGGCTTTGGGGAGGCATTCCGATGACACTTGGCTTAGAGGCGTGACTTTGGCAAACTAATCTCTCTGGCCCCCTCGGTTCCCAAATCTGAAAAGTGGGGATACCCACTGAAGAGGGTTGCTCCAAGGATGAAAATGAGAAGAAACTGCCTTCCTCAAAGCAGTCACTTAAAACATTTCGGTCAAACTATCCCCTTGCCCCCCATCGTTTGCTTTCTTCCTAAGATTCAGAATGTCTCAGGGACAAATTTTAACAAAGGCTGTAAATGCTCAGTTCATTGAGCAGAATTCTGTTCCACTGGCTTTTACAAGCACCCTCTACACGGTCATGCCTTCGAGACCGCAGACGTGGAGCACGTGTCGGCTCGTGTGTCTGTTAAACTCACAGTTTGTCCTTGCTTTTTTCATGCCTGTGAGCTTTCCAAGGCTATTCTTTAACCATTTTTTTCCCTTAAGGTCATCCTACTACTTTTGCCGAATTATCTACTGGGAAATAAATTCTGGAGGACATTTTCTCATGTGGTTAGCATCCCTTTAGACGCGGCCATCACTAAGCTGCATCACGTGGATTCCAGACAGCGCCCCAAAGTTAAGCCAATGGTGAGCTTTCTCAAGCTCCTCTCCCCTTCACACTGGGGAAACTGTCAGTGAGTCCAAGGAGAAACCCTAAATTCTCCATGAGACCTCGACTCAGAAAGACCTGGGCCTGGCGTGGGTGAGTCAGAACTTTCCATTCCGTGGTGTGTGATTGCAAAGCGATGGAAATGACTGGGCCACTGGTTATGGTCGTGTGGTGTGGGGAGAG